ACCTGCCAGGCCACGTGCTCCCAGCGAGGGATGTCTTGTCCCAGTTCACACAGAGGCACTGTCTGAGCTGCTGCCTCAGCTGGGGAGAGTATTTCCCTTTTGATAACAGGGCCAGGGTTCCTGTTGGGACCTTTGGGCTTAGGGATTCAGAATCAGGAGTTTCGACTATGATTGGGCATTGGGACAGTGGGGCTTTGGGGCTATGCCTACATCATATAACTAGGCCTTACATAAAGCCTTTGATTTATTTTTTGGGGGGGGGGTAGTTCTAAGATTCAGATTAAAAGTTGGAGGGGTGCCCGGGTGGCTCAGTCGGTTGGTTAAGCGTCCGACTTCGGCTCAGGTCCGTGAGTTCGAGCCCCGTGTCGGGCCTCTGTGCTGTGCTGACAGCTCGGAGCCCGGAGCCTGCTTCTCTCTGCCCCTCCCCCACTCACGCTCTGTCTCTCTATCAAGAAATGAATAAACGTTAAAAAAAAAAAAGTTGGAAATTCAGACTCAGGTGGAAGCCGGGATTCAGGGTTTGCGGACACAGCTGGGGGTGGGGGGGTCACAGTGCTGGTTAGGTTCAAGCACAGAAAATGCGAGGCAACAGACAGCCATGACCCCTTGGCCCAGCCAGCGATGTCAACAAAAGAGGAAATGACCGAGTTCCAGATATGCGTGAGACCCGCTTCCCCTGACTCCCGCTCCACCTCCTGGTCCTGCTCACCAGCTGCGCTCACTATCGCCCTAATCAGGGTCAATGTCCCCACGCGGATGGCCTCTTGGCTCATCTCCATCTGACCGAGGAAGAATTTCATCAGCTCCTTGGGGTAGGACCGGGCTGCAGGGGGGAAGGCTGCCTTAGTCATTCGCCCCCTGGGCCAGACAGATGGAGCCAGAGGAGGCAGCCCTGGGGGACGGGGACTCCCGGGGGCGGGGGGGGGGGGCGGGGCCCCCCCCCCCCCCCCCCCCCCCCGCCAGGCTCACAGGGGGCCTGGGGGAGCCTCACCGAGGGCTATGAAGCAGTGTACGATCTCCGCCAGGTTTTGGCTGCTGTACTGCTGCTGGGCAGGAGCCTTGGCACACACCTGGGGAGGGGGCGTGCAGGGAGGGTGGTGAGACGACAAGCAGAGACGGGATGCAAGCACGGGGGCGGCCCGGCCGTGGCAGAGCTGCGTGGGCAACCAACGCCTCCCAGCCCCCGTGGGATAGGGGAGCCAGATGAACGAGACGGGGGCTCCACAGCCACGCCACCTGCCACCGCCCACTCCCCGCGGCAGCAGCCCGAGAATGCTGGTGCCCCGCCAAGCTCGCGGCCTCACCTGGAAGTGCAGTTCCGTGAAAATGGTGTGTAGTTGCATTTGGGGGACGGGGGTGTTGGTGGTGACGGACGTTTCCAGGATCTGCCTCAAGACCTGCAATGAACGGGCCGATGATTCAGGGTCAGTGAACTCCGGACTCTTGTGGCTCAGAGGGGCCCATCAGCCGGAGGTATCAGCATCCCCCCTGGGAGCTGGCAGGAAACGCAGAGGATGTGGAGAAACGGGGACCCTCTTGTACCATTGGTGGGAATGCAAACTGGTGCAGCCGCTCTGGAAAGCAGTGTGGAGGCTCCTCAAAAAATTAAACATAGACCTACCCCATGACCCAGCAGTAGCACTGCTAGGAATTTCCCCAAGGGATACAGGAGTGCTGATGCACAGGGGCACCTGTACCCCAAAGTCTATAGCAGCACTTTCAACAATAGCCAAATTATGGAAAGAGCCTAAAAGTCCATCGACTGATGAATGGATAAAGAAATTGTGGTTTATATACACAGCGGAATACCACGTGGCACTGAGAAAGAATGAAATATGGCCCTTTGTAGCAACGTGGATGGAACTGGAGAGTGTGATGCTAAGTGAAATAAGCCATACAGAGAAAGACAGATACCATATGTTTTCACTCTTATGTGGATCCTGAGAAACTTAACAGAAGATCATGGGGGAGGGGAAGGGCGAAAAAAAGTTACAGAGGGGGAAGGAGGCAAACCATAAGAGACTCTTAAATACTGAGAACAAACTGAGGGTTGATGGGGGGCGGGCGATGGGTATTGAGGAGGGCACCTGCTGGGATGAGCACTGGGTGTTGTATGGAAACCAATTCGACAATAAATTTCATAAAAAGAAAAAAGAAAGAAAAAGAAAGAAATGCAGTCTCTCAGGCTCTTCTCCAGACCTGATGAATCCGATCCTGCATTGTCAACAAGCCCCCAAGCTATTCCCAGGCACAGTGATGCTTGGAAAGTGCTGTGCTAAGCCACTGAGCATGGCATTCAAGGCCCTCTTCCCCTTTCTCCCCTATCCACCTGGCAGCAAATCTCATTCTTCAGCCAGAGTGATCGAAGGACGGCCCCCTAAATCTATCGTATTAATTTCTGCTCTTTGTTTTTGTAGCTGAGGACCACGCCTCTGCTGTAGGTGAGTGACACAGCCCAGGTCACGCCCAGGTCACTCAGAACACTGCCAAGGCTCCATCCCACACAGGTTATGGGCTATCGTGGGTTAAAGGGTCTCCCGAAAATTCATGTGCACCCGGAGCCTCAGAATGTGACTTTATTTGAAAATGAGGCTTTCCAGCGGCAGCTGGGTGGCTCAGGCTCAGGCGGTCAAGGGTCCAACTTCGGCTCAGGTCATGATACCACGGTTTGTGAGTTCGAGCCCCGCGTCGGGCTCTGTGCCGACAGCTGGGAGCCCGGAGCCCGCTTCAGATTCTGTGTCTCCCCCTCTCTCTCTCTGTCTGTCCCCCGCTCGTGCTCTGTCTCTGTCTCCCAAAAATAAACATTAACAAAATTAAAAGAAAAAAGAAAATGAGGCTTTCCAGATGTCATGAGGTAAGGGCCTCAGATGAAATGAACCATCCTGGATTTAAGAAGGGTCTGGGGGGCGCCTGGGTGGCGCCGTCGGTTGGGCGTCCGACTTCAGCCAGGTCAAGATCTCGCGGTCCGTGAGTTCGAGCCCCGCGTCGGGCTCTGGGCTGATGGCTCAGAGCCTGGAGCCTGTTTCCGATTCTGTGTCTTCCTCTCTCTCTGCCCCTCCCCCGTTCATGCTCTGTTTCTCTCTGTCCCAAAAATAAATAAACGTTGAAAAAAAAAAAAAAAAAAAAAGAAGAGTCTGAAGGTCCAACAACTAGCGTCCTTATAGGAAGAGGGGAGGACACGGAGAAGAGACCACGTGAAGAGAGGGGGACGATGGAAGGCTGCAGCCATCAGCCAAGCAACGCGTGGGGCCACCGGCAGCTGGAAGAGGCAACCCAAGGATTCCTCTCCAGGGCCTTCAGAAGGAGCGCCCCTGGCACCGTGAGGCTACATTTCTGTTACTTGGAGCCGCCCACCCTGTGGTTCTCTTACGGCAGCCCCAGGAAACTAACACGCAACCTCACCGCAGCCTCCAAGACCCTTTGGGATCTCGTCCCTTCCACCTGGAACAGCAGTCTCAAAAATCCAGTGAGTGCGGAGCCCCAGCTTCTACTCAGGTGACACTCCCCCTCCCGACGTGGGACCCAGAGGAGCCAAGCCTGCAGCCTCTCACCTGCGTGATGAACAGGGCCTCCAGGCCGCCCCGGTATTCCGCCAGCAGCAGGGGGATGTAGTCGTACAACTGATTCCGAAGGTCGTCGTTGGGCAGGAGGAGGGTCAGCATGGGCTTCAGGGACTTGATGACCCCCAGCTTCACCTACCACAGGAGCCCGGGAGCCCCAGCGAGGCCCAGTGAGGTCACCCCATCCAGAGAGTCCAGGGCACGTGACAGAGAGGGCCTTGGGAGTAGGCGGGGCCCCGCCCGAGACCCCACAGGCAGGCGACGAGGCCGGACTGTCCCTGCAAGTCCCAGCTCTGTCACTTGGGAGAACCTGTCTGAGCGCCTGAGTTTCCTCATTTGTAAAACGGTCCTACGGCACGGCTCCTCTAGGTAAAACGCACCGTTAACAGGGACCCTCCTCCAGCAACTCCTGGGGTCTTTCTCAAGCCAGGCCCCCCGGGGCCCCAGGGCCCGTGCAGGTCAGCTCCTCCATTGATCAGGTCACCGTCTCTCCGGGTTCTGAGAACGAGGCTGGACCCAGTGGTCTCTCAGCCCTCCTTAGCCACACAGGCTGGGGAGCCATGACCTGGGGGGGACCACAGGACCCCCTTGAGAAGGGTGCTTCTCACCTCAGGGTTGTGGTTCCTTAGCCACACGGTCACGAAATAGCGATACATCGGGAACAGCTTCATGGCAAACTGATCTTCCGTCATCACAGGATACACACTGTCCTCCAGATGCCGCAGGTAAAACTGGACCATCTCACAGAAGGTCTCCATGGCTACGGAGGAGGGTGGGGGCGGTGAGCCCCGAGGGGCAGCAGCCGGACGAGGTCTCCCCGGGCCACCTCCCTCCAGAAGCATTGGCACACTTCTGTAACCAGCAGGTGAGCGAGATGGCCTCAGACAGCCTAGAAAATGCCCCTCTTCAGCCCGTGATCTCTGCCTTCCAATTTTTATCAGCTTTCTACCCGTGTGGGAGGCAGGCTGTTAAGCCTACAGGTGTGTCCAGACCCCAGCCCTTGAGATTCACATACAGGGGTCAAGGGTAGGATATGACTCCTTACTCACAGCCCGAGGATTGTCCCACAGAGGGCAGTGAGCACATTTTGTCTTATTCTTCTCAGGTATCAGGGATTTAGGACCCCCTGAAACACTTAAGAAATCAAAACCTCGGGCAAGGAGATCAGACCATAAAGAGCATCAGAGACCAGCCCTGGTCGGGCCCAACATAGAGCCATGTTCCCTGGTTCCCTCTCCTGTGAAATCCCGCTGTCCTCCTGAAACGCTTGAAACAGAGCCAGGTAAACCGAGTCACAGAGACAACTTCCTCCCGCTAAGCCGTGTTCCCTTGAAAGCACCGGCCACAGTTCCACCGCCTGTGCCCCCCCGAGAGCCGATCGGGGCCACACGAAGCAGGAGGTTGGACAAATGCTCGGGAATAAGTGAACAACCTACCTCCTGTTCAGCAAACCCCTCCACCTGCTTGCCCCGGGCCCTCGTCCAGCCCCCTGGCCGGGCCTCACCGGCGGGCCCCACCAGGCACGTACCACTGCAGATCACCTGGCACATCTTGGCTTCATTGGTGAGTCTCAGCATCGTGAATATGGTGGCCAGGGTGATGCCCATGTATGGCATGAATTCAAACACTGTGCAGCGGGACGAGAGGTGGCAGGGAGTTGGGGGCGGGTCAGCAGGGACAGGGCAGAGGACAAGCCCGCTTCCTGCCACCTCCCGCCCCCACGGGGCCCAGCGTGTGGCTGAGGCCACAGGATAAAGTGTGGAAGTCAGTGGGAGGTGAAAGGAACAGACCGGAAACAAGCGAAGGGGGAGGAAGCAGGAAAGGAAGGAGACCGGGGACAGGGAGACAGAAGGAGGAGGAGGAGGAGGAGGGGGGGATAGAACCATAGGGAGGAGTGGGCAGAGCAGAAAGTCAGGGAGGGGAGGCCGAGCATGGCTCCTGGATAGATGCCTGGCTCTTTACGTGTCCCACCAAGGTCCTTGGGTGAACAAAGTCACAGGGAGACAGGCAGCAAGAAAGAGACCAGAAGAAGGCAACAGGCGGGCAAAGAAAGGCAGGAAACCAAGGGATGCTGGGAGCAGAGAAGAGGCGTTGTTGGGGGAAAGGGAACAGGTGACAGAGCCACCCTCCCCTCCCAGCCTGGCCCCTCCAGCGGCCGTCTCAGAGCAGCTAGTCCCGTTCCCCGCCCACTCTCTCCACCCACCCGGCCCCATCTGACCAGAGCCCCTGCAAAATGGGACACGCTGGCCCCCGGGCCCTTCCTGAGCCACCGCCCTTCTCGCAGCTTCCACACCACCGCCACCCTGTCCCCGTCTCCCTGCCAACTCTCTTCCTGACGTCGGGTTTCTCCGAGCTGGGTTCTGCCCGCCTCCTCTCCTCTGTCTGCATCTGTGGGCGTGGACGGCTTTGAGCACCACCCACACGCCAAAGACCCTGGGAGGAAGGCCCCCCACACCTGCCCTCGGACTCGACTCCGCATCCACCCATCAGCTGGCCACCTGACCCCGCCCCCCGAAAGTCCCACAGGAATGTGAACTCAGTGCACCTGCCCGGCAGCCAGCTGCTCACGCCTGAAGCTGGGAGTCTTCCTTGGCTTCTCTTTTTTTTCCTTCACCTCCAGCACAGAACTCATCAGCAAGTCCCATCAGTCAGAACCTCATTCATCTCTCCCGTCTGCGCACCCCTCACCAGCCTGGCCCCAGCCTGAGCCACCAATGCCTCTCACGTACACACCTCTCATCCCTTCTCCACCCACACAACAGCTAGAATGTTCTTCCTGGAACCTGCGTGTCACAAGGCAACCCTACAGCTTTCCGGGGCTCTCAAGTAAGGTCCAGACTCTACCACACCCACCAGGCCCTGCCAGCCTCTCCAACCCCACTTTCCACCATCTGCCCTCACCCTAACGACAGCCACAGTGACCTCTCAGTCCTTCAGAGAAGCCGAGCCTTTCCCTGCCTCAGGGCCTTTGCACATGACGTTCTCCGTGCAGAACGCCCTCCCGCATCTGGTTCTTCACCATCGTCTCGTCCTTTCGGGTCACAACTGAAATGTCGCTACCCCAGTGAGGGCCCTCACAGAGGTGAGGTCCCCTCCCTCCTGATCTCAAACAGCCACCAGGCTGTTCTCGTCACACCACATGTCATCTCATATGATGATGGCCGATTTTCTTGTTTACTTGTTTACCGTCCTTTATGGAGGCGGGACCGAGCGCATTGTACTCACTGCCACTGTGCAGCGGGAGCTCAGCACCTGCTTGTGGAATGGGGGAGGGGGGAGGGGAGGGGTAAGAAGGAAAAAGAGATGAGAACACAAGAGAACGGGGCCCGAGAGGGAGAGCGGTCTGGAGAAAGAATGTCAGAGGAATGAAGAGACAGAAATGAGAGGCAGGAACACGGAAGCTTGACAGCTGAGGGAGACGCGGAGACGGAAAGAAGGAATGCCAGAGGAAGGTAAGGTAAGAGGGGGGATGGTTGAAGCGGGAGACAGGGATGAAGGAGAGCTTGTGTCGGGATGAGCACTGGGCGATGTACGGAATCGTCAGGTGACTGGATGACCCTCCTGAAACTGATATTACGCTGGACTCAAAAGAAAAACTTAATAAAAATTTAAAAACTAGAAAAGAGAGAAATGGGGCTGGTCAGAGAAGAGAGAGGCAGTGACCGGGAGGGAGCGCCAGGTCGGCCTGCGGGGCCAGACCCGCCCCCCCCCCACCACCGCCCCAGGCCGAGGACCCGCGTGCGCCTACCGTTGCCATTGGCCAGTTTCGCCAAGGTGACGATGACGAATTCGTCCGTGAGGTTGAGAGGCTTGAGGTGGTGCTGCAGCTCATACATGACCAAGCTGAAGTGGTTGCGGGACAAAGCCACCAGGGTGTCGCTGGCCGCCTCTGCCTTCGCGTAGCCCTCCACCTGCAGGGGATGGGGGAGGGACGTGTGTCTCCACCACCCGCTGGGCTGCCATGAAAACCCTCCTGCCCCACACCTGCTCCAGCTCAGGCTCCGCCTCTTCTTGCCCCCCTCCTCACCGGTCACTGGACCAGAGAAGCCAAGCCTCTCCCTGCCTCAGGGCCTTTGCACATGACGTTCTCAGTGCCGAACTAAATCCTGCATCCACCCCAGGCCACCCACATCTCAGCCCCTGGGCTGGCAGGGGAGGGGGGCAGGGCGCCGATGGACCCAGGGCTTCACTACCTCCAGGCTCTCCCTCATCTCCTTGGAGGCGATGGCGACCAGCCTCTGGACGCCCTGATCCTCTAGCTCCCCCTCCTGCTGGATGATCTCCTGGAGGATGTTGTAAATGTTGACTTTGCGCTGGGTGGAAATCTGGGAAACGATTACGGGCGGGCGGGAAGATCCTGGACTAGGTTGTGGCGCCTGGGATGGACCCAGCCCTGCCCCCAACACAGCCCACCATCTTCTCCCTCCACTGGCCCTCCTCCCATATACCCGTGACTCGCAAGATACGTGTATTTGATCTTTGTCCCCTTTCTGGTTTCTGGCACAGAGCTCCTAAAACCCTTGGGAGTATCCTAAGTGATGAGAGCCCTGAAAGAGTCCTTTGTTACCTTGATGAGGTGACTCGGGAAGCAGCCAAGGGTGGGGGCTGGCTGCCAGGGGAGCCAGCCCTTTCATTAGAGGGTCGTAACTTTCAGTCTTGGAGTGGGGGAGGGGCCGGAATCCGAATGCACTGACCATAGCCAATGATTCAATCGGCGGTGCCTCTGTAACGAGGCCTCCGTAGATCGACCGCAGATCAGGGCTCAGCGAGCTTCCGGGCTGCCAAACACGTGGGGATTCTGGGAGAGCGGTGCACCCCAAGAAAGCACAGAACCTCCGCACCCGTTCCCCGTGGCTTCCCCTCTGCATCTCCTCCATCTGGCCATTCCTGAGTTCGATCCTTTTATAATAGACTAGTAATCCAGCGAGCGGTCTGTTCCGCTGAGTTGTTACCCACGCTAGCAAATCAATCAAACCCAGGGAGGGAGTTCGACAGCCAGTCGGTCAGAGGCACGGGGGGGACAAGCGGGGGCGGGGGCAGCTTTGTGGGACTGAGCCCTTAGCCTATGGGATCCGATGCTGTCTCCAGGTGGGTAGGTCAGAACTGAGCTGAACTGTGGGACGCCCCGCTGGTGTTTGAGAACCGCTCGGTGGCGGTGGTGGAGCTCTTAAATGTTTTATATTTCCCGACACCTCAGGGTCGATGACCCTGGAGAGCCCACCCCTCCCAGGCTTAGCCAGTTACTACCAAGAACAAACATCTCCCCAGGGAGCATGCTTTTCAAATGCAAACCAGCCAGTCCAAAGCCGGTACCATCCACCTGCTCTCCCACTGGGAGCCACTATCCACCGGCCCCTAATGACCCCAGGGCCACAGGCCAGACAACCAGGGACAGCCCCGACACCCAGAGCCCGCTGAAATTGTTCACACTAGCCCATCTTCAGCCTGCTCACCCTGCCTGTCCCATCCCCCCTCCCCCCACCAGAGACCACAATATAGACTCTTGCCCCCGTTCCCTCCTCACTCCCTCTGTTTCCTGGCCAACCCTGGTGCTTGCTCATGTGGCCCTGCATGATATGGCCTGTCCCCTCCCCCACCCCCTGCACCTCCTAATAAACCCACATTTTATAAATTTTTTTTTCAACGTTTATTTATTTTTGGGACAGAGAGAGACAGAGCATGAATGGGGGAGGGGCAGAGAGAGAGGGAGACACAGAATCGGAAACAGGCTCCAGGCTCCGAGCCATCAGCCCAGAGCCTGACGCGGGGCTCGAACTCACGCGAGATCACGTGAGATCTCGCGAGATCGTGACCTGGCTGAAGTCGGACGCTCAACAGACTGCGCCACCCAGGCGCCCCAAAACCCACATTTTAAAAGTCTGTTACAAAACCCTTTGCCTGTCTTTGCTCCTCACAGCTGCCACCCATCTTTCTACAAAATCAAGCTTTCTCTAAAGAATTCCTACAAAGATCTCCCGCACTTCCCAGCCCCAAAGGCTACAGGACAGTCTACACTCCAGCAGTTCTCAACGTGTGGTCTCCAGACCAGCAGCCTCAGCATCACCTGGGAAGGTGTTAGAAATGCTGATTCTCAGGCCAGCCCCACAGACCTACTGAATCAGTAACTCTCAGTACGGGGCCCAACAATCTGGGTCTTAACGAGCTCTCCAGGGGACCCTGATGCTCTGCCCCAAACTCTGCCCTGTCTTGCCCACCGCGATTTCCCATCACACCGCCCATCACTCCCTCCTACGCCCTCCACCCCACTCCTGTCCCTGGCTAATCAGTCTCCGGGCTGGCCCAGCACTTTGCACCCGGTTCTGCTACGTCTTGGCTGCCCCAGGTCTACTTGCTTCACTCCTTCAACATCTCTGTGACTACGTTCGTGAGCCCTAGGACAAGGGCTCTCCAACCCACCGTGTCAGAATAAGGCAGCTTTTTAAAAATTACCAAAGCCCCAGTCTCCCATGGGTCCTGTGAGCCTCACGGTCTTGCCCGTGTCTGTGCCCCAGCACCCAGCCCTGTGCCTGCGATGGTCGGTAATGTGTGCTGACCCACGGGTGGCTGGGCTCGAGGCGGGGCCGGGGGCCAGCGGGCCCTACCTCGGGCACCTGCAGGCAACGGATGAGAGCGTTGATCACGGCGGAGGGCTCCGTGGTGGCCTTCTCCGTGATTATCACCGAGGCCAGCATCTTCCGCATGTCAGGACCTGCCCCCCCAGCAGCGTCCGTCTTTGCTGACCCGCTGTCCATGACGTTGAGGAGGTTTGTGACTTGTTGGAAAGTACCTGAGACAAGGTGGTGCAGGGGTGGCGCTGAGGTGGCCGTCGCGGGAAGTGCTCCCGCGCCCAGGCCCTCCTGACGCGGCCGGGGAAGCCATGCTCTTGCCACGATTGGGCGGGGCCTCCCTGTCCTCGTGCAGACAGAGAAACCGAGACCTAGGCTGGGACACGCCCTCAAGGAGTCAATGGCCAGGACTGGACAGGACAGGAATGCAGGGGTGGGGCTGACTTTCTTACCTCCGTCATCGTCTGGCTCCAGGGGCTCCAGGTCCTCCGTTTCCTCTGCCGGGCCCTCGTTTGAGCCTACCACTGCTTCTGTCATCTCCTCCACAAGCTCTTCGGAGACAAGATTTGTATAAAATCGTTGGTGTATCAACACAACCCAAGAGACCACCGCTCCCCCAAGAGTCACACCCTGCATAATCCTCTCCCCTTCGGTGTGGGCAGAACTGGGACTTGGCTAGACCCGTGTTCTAACCAGTAGACCGAGGCCAAGGTGACAGGAAGCCACTCCCAGGGTCATGTGCTCTCATAGCAGCCTCTGTGTCCTAGGGATGGGAGAGGGAGTCTCACGCTAGCCTTGAAGTTAACGGCGTGGCCTAAACTGCCGGTGGAAGGGACCCTGTGGCAAGAAGCTGAGGACATCAGTCCTCCAACCCCATAAGCTTGGAAGAGAACTAAGCTCCGGAAAGGATGTGTCTGCGCCAACATGAAGGCAGCCTGTGAGACCCCCTGACTCCGGATCCCCGGAAACCGTGCGATGATAGACGGGTGTTGTTTTAAGCCACTGAGTTGATGTCATTTATCACACAGCAGTGGCTAACTTGGTTAAGAAGGGCCCTTCCTCTCCTCTCCACACCGAACACTAACGATTAATGAGAAACCCACCTCCGCCTTCCACGTTGCTCCTCTCAAGGAGCTCTTGTAACATCAGCAGCTTCTCAAGGGTTGACCAACAACACAGATGTCAAAATGGAGGACTGAATGCTCCCAGATCCGTTCGCCCCCTGACCAGAGTTCCCCAAGCCTGAAACTCCACGGGCTCTTCACCGTCCTGAGCTCTTTCCCTCCTGGGAATCTGTTGAAGAGCTACTCTGGGACTTAACTACTGACCTTTCCTCGGAGTCCCCTCCTGGTTGGGACAAAAATACACCACAAGGAGAGGATGTCTAATACACATCAAAGGTAATGTGGACAAGGTCAGGTGGGTCGTCAAGGAAGTGGGACGGTTGGCTTCTCAGCCGTAATGTGGATGAGGAAGAGGTCTCCTGGCAGGGTGGGAGGGTTTCACTAGAACCATCACCGTTAGGTCGCAGACCCTTGGAACTCTGAGATCTAACTGCCTTCCTGAGTCTTGATCAACTGAGGGCTTCAAGGAGTGCGCAGGGCCCTGT